TAAGTTACATTAGCGGGATCATCGTCATCACATACCAACAACACAACACGAGGTGACAATGTTTAAACAGTGATTTCAGGGGCCTTGTTGCCTCCTCACCATCGATTTATGAAATTCAACTAGGCCACCCAAGCCTGTGAGCTGCTCTATTCAAGCCCTGCCAATTGTCAAGTCTGGATGTGACTCAAGCAAATGTGGGCAAGCAGTCTCTACAAGAAGTAGCTCATGATAATTCACTGTGGGTGTGTGTAGGGGGATAGTTTCTTCCTTCCTTTTCCGGTACACTGTCAGCGCCTTTTCCCTCCCTACCTCACCACACAGCGGAGACAAATATACTTACCCATGCTTTTTTTTTTAACCCTGTGTATCATTTTAGTGATTTAATAAAGTGCTACACATAGTTTATTGTTCTAATTGAATGAGCATTTAAATGAATCTTGGTTAGACACAGAAACCAAAGAAAAAAACAACAGCTACAGAAAGATATTTTCTTAGTTGACTTAACTAGATACTTCACTTATTTAACTGTTCCGAAAAGGAAATATGTCTACATTTTATTTAGGGCTACTACTACTACTACTACATTGTACTAATATCTAATAGACCAAAACCCAGAGATAATTCATTTTACTATAATTTAAGATGAGAAAAAGCAGCAAACCTACATATTTTAGGAGCTTGAACCCTCTAATTTTTGGCATTTTTGCTTGAAAAATTTATATTTTGATTAGTTATAATCAAAATAGTTGTAAATTAGTTTTCTGCTCCAGCTCTACTACATTGGGATATGAACTATAATGACTAAAAAATACATTTTACGGTTTTGAAAAACAAATATGAATACATCATCATGTTTTGTTTTTGTGTCATTACAATGTAATAAAAAATGACTCAGACTCAACCTAGTGCTGGTGCTGTTTTTCCAAATCTAAGTCTGTTTTTAACCAAATTTGTGACATATTTGAAAGAGCAAGAAGCCCTGCAGGGTGTGTTTTTTTTATAGTCTGTATGTGAAGATGTTAAACTTCAGTGCGCAGACAAGCGGTCAGGTGTCAGTATTACCCTAGAGGAAGGCCACGACCAAAAACTGTGTGGACAAGGTGCGTGTCAGGAAAAGACAGCTGAGGCCTGCACAGTAGCCTGCACTTCAAATGTAACAGCCATCGATCAGTAACGTGGATGTAATAACATTCAAAGATGTGCTGCAGTGTGTCACGAAGACTCCCTGAGGCTACATTTGACCACGAGGAATATTGTTCTCATGGGTGATAATGCTTTTTTTTTTTCTCCAAGAGGAGCTCAGGGCGCCAATACCCATTCATAAATCTGACCATTTAAAGATCTATTACTTATTGGGTATAAATTAAACGTGTTAAAACAAGACTGCAGACTATTTGCGAAAATACAACAATCGCGCTCCACTTCTGCTAACATCCGACACACCAAGCAACACCTGTTTCAACAATATTTCAACTTTGCCCGCGGTTCCCGCAGTGTTCTTGTACCAAAACAAACCACAGTGGCCTTACAATATCTGTGTACACGAATTACACACACACACCGATATTTCAGTGCAGTCGAGCGCTAGCTGCTTGCTGGTTCATATGCAAACAAAACCCACTCCATTCATACAAGGCCTCAAGTCGTGATCGACCAATACAGCCTGTATTTGCGGAATATCAAGGAGCCATTAAACTGATACAGTTTTAAGTCGAGGTTTGGCACAGCGTTCTCTACGGAGTGGAGGGGGAAAGAGTGCCATTTGCAACGTCGCAGTGCATGTAGGTCACAGTCGCAAAGACAACATAGGGCTTCCCCTTGCAGGAAGGCAGCATCACTAAACTTCTATCTATCTGTGTCCGTTACCTCTCTTACCACTTGAGCGCTCGTGTCTGGGTGCAGCCGCCGCGGCCGCGCCTCCTGTTGCGGCCGCACAGGCTCCATTTTCCTGCTCATCTCCGCTACTGTTAGTGCGTTTGCTTTTCTTTCCCTTGTTGTTCTTCTGGTTGGGCATTTTACAGGATTCGGATGTCAACTGTTATTTTCGACCTCTATCAACGGCTGCTGTCAACGCTGTCTGACATTTCTGTGGACTCCATTTCTGCAGTGTTTTTTTGCAGTTTGTTCTCTTTGAATTGTTGTTTTTTGGTGTCCTCGTGGACGACAGGCGGGGTTTTGTGCAGCTCTGACAGCAGCAGCTCTACGGAATAAGCTGCTATAACCTTTAAGAACGAAGGCGTGTCCGTCTCTTGTTTTGATTCCTGCTCCGCTGTCTTCTTCCACGCCTGACGTCACAGGACCCCGCCCCCCATTGGCCGTCAACCACTTATGCTGCATTCAAGCATCAAAGCTCTGACTTGACGGCTCCAAATGCTTGTTTTTATATAGTCTGTGTGTTCAACACAATACTTAAAACACACAAGCATTCACTAATCTTATTTGTTTAAAGATCATGAGCATGTATGGTGAATTGAAATACTGCACTTAAGTACAATTTTAAGGACTTTAATTGTGTATTTGTATTTTCTGTTACTTTATACTTCTACACCAAGTAAAATTCATCTGTTCAAAATTTAAATAAAAATCAAATTTCTGTCAACTGACATATATAAAAGTACCTAATAAAACTTTATCAAATCAAAACAAATGTAACCCGAAACAGATGTGTCAGATAATCCTACAGTACCTGAATGCAGCAGCAGCAGACTCAGCAGAAGTTGGTGAGAAGAGTCACAAACCTGTGGGGAGGCACCACTGTCTTATTTAGCAGTTATGACATCACATTTGATTTCATCGGCCTGGGTGTCGAAAATCCCTGAGAGGTAACTGGAGCTTTGCAGCAAAACAGCACATAAACAGGTAGTATAATGTAAAACAGTAAATGTTTTTTAAATGTAACCAAATATTTTTTTTACACCAGAGTGAAAGAAAATTATCACAAGACAAAACAATATTTTTTTCTCCAGTTCGGCTCACACACAAACACCTGTTTCAGTAATATCTCAACTTGTTTGCCTGCTGTTACCACACTTAACTTGCACCAAATCACACCGTAGTGGCACCTAAAAAACACAGTGTGACCCAATAACATGAAATGTGATTCCAAAGAAGCAATGAGTAATATCTACTTTGACAGACAAAAATCTGCTCCCTTCATAACAGAAGTGTAGCCTACAGGTGCTGGTCATATTAGAATATCATCAAAAAATTGATTAATTTCAGTAATTCCATTCAAAAAGTGAAACTTGTATAATTTATACATCCATTCCACACAGACTGATATATTTCAAGTGTTCATTCCTTTTAATTTTGATGATTATATCTGACAACTAATGAAAACCCCAAAATCAGTATCTCAGAAAATTAGAATATTGTGAAAAGGTTCATTATTGAAGACACCTGGTGCCACACTCTAATCAGCTAATTAACTCAAAACACCTGCAAAGGCCTTTAAATGGTCTCTCAGTCTAGTTCTGTAGGCTACACAATCATGGGGAAGACTGCTGACTTCATAGCTGTCCAAAAGATGACCATTGACACCTTGCACAAGGAGGGCAAGACACAAAAGGTCATTGCTAAAGAGGCTGGCTGTTCACAGAGCAAGGGAAGGAAAAGATGTGGTAGAAAAAAGTGTACAAGCAATATGGATAACCGCACCCCTGGAGAGGATTGTGAAACAAAACCCATTCAAAAATGTGGGGAAGATTCACAAAGAGTGGACTGCAGCTGGAGTCAGTGCTTCAAGAACCACCACGCACAGACGTATGCAAGACATGGGTTTCAGCTGTCGCATTCCTTGTGTCAAGCCACTCTTGAACAAGACACAGCGTCAGAAGCGTCTCACCTGGGCTAAAGACAAAAAGGACCGGACTGCTGCTGAGTGGTCCAAAGTTATGTTCTCTGATGAAAGTAAATTTTGCATTTCCTTTGGAAATCAAGGTCCCAGAGTCTGGAGGAAGAGAGGAGAGGCACAGAATCCACGTTGCTTGCAGTCCAGTGTAGTTTTCCACAGTCAGTGATGGTTTGGGGTGCCATGTCATCTGCTGGTGTTGGTCCACTGTGTTTTCTGAGGTCCAAGGTCAACGCAGCCGTCTACCAGGAAGTTTTAGAGAACTTCATGCTTCATGCTGCTGACCAACTTTATGGAGATGCAGATTTCATTTTCCAACAGGACTTGGCACCTGCACACAGTGCCAAAGCTACCAGTACCTGGTTTAAGGACCATGGTATCCCTGTTCTTAATTGGCCAGCAAACTCGCCTGACCTTAACCCTATAGAAAATCTATGGGGTATTGTGAAGAGGAAGATGCGATACGCCAGACCCAACAATGCAGAAGAGCTGAAGGCCACTATCAGAGCAACCTGGGCTCTCATAACACCTGAGCAGTGCCACAGACTGATCGACTCCATGCCACGCCGCATTGCTGCAGTAATTCAGGCAACAGGAGCCCCAACTAAGTATGAGTGCTGTACATGCTCATACTTTTCATGTTCATACTTTTCAGTTGGCCAACATTTCTAAAAATCCAATTGTATTGGTCTTAATATTCTAATTTTCGAAGATACTGAACTTGGGATTTTCATTAGTTGTCAGTTTTAATCATCACAATTAAGTGAAATAAACATTTGAAATATATCAGTCTGTGTGTAATGAATGAATATAATATCCAAGTTTCACTTTTTGAATGGAATTACTGAAATAAATCAACTTTTTGATATTATAATTATATGACCAGCATCTGTATATTTAAATGTTAACCAGAATAAATAAAAAGGAAAAGGCGTAACAAAAATAAAACAATAACCTCCTTGCACTTTCCAAGATCGTCCCTTTTCCATGGTCACCACAAAATCAACACATTCCAGTCGTGCAATAATGAAGGGCGATCGTCTCAATGCGACGCATTGTTTTTAGATAAATACAGTATATCCAATCAAGTGTTGTTACCAAGTGTGTTTAAAGATTTAGAGTCATCAGACAAAACACACAGCAAAGCAGGTTCAAGGCTTCAAGTGTAGATTTTACTCCATAGTCACAGGAACTGTTCGTTTAGGAATGTGTTATTGCCAATACAAAAGACAGTAATGAAGCACTTGAACACATCATGCAGGCATCCCACTGGTTCACAGAAATGGCTTCAAGGTATTGGCTCTGAAAACTTTCTCCTCTTCCTAACGGTTGACTTGTACAGTTCTGTTTATGTTCAGGAAGGCATCTTAAACTCACTCCAGTGCAACAACAGCAGGATAATCTAAAATGACAGTGATGCAAGCAGCATGTTTCTTCCTCACTCTTGCTTTTCTGTTATTTCCAAACATTTCGGACTTCTACTCAGACTATTGTTTGTATTCTGATGATTACATTTCACATGACTTTTCACATCTTTACAAGGCTACATTTCAATTTCACTCATAAACAGAATATGATTAAACTCATTCGGTTTTCTAGATTGACAGATTTTTTTGATCCATCTATGTCACCAATGCAGTTTAAAACACCATCATAAAGCACGTGAATAGTCTCCTATATGTTTTTTTTTTTAAAAGAATCACATAATTCAAGTCAATCAGCCAACACCTGAGCCTAAAAGATTTAACTAGGCTGATACAACAGCAGTCATTGTGAAATGGGTCTGAAACTTACAGATAAGGCGTGATTTCACACGGCGTTATGTGTTGATGGTAGTAAACAAAAGGCCCAAAATGTAATGAGAAGTAGGAAGAGTATGATGAACGCAACATTTGCTAAGTAGATATTACATTCAGGCAAACATTTGGAGCTTGCTGTTCTTTCTGGTGCAAAAACTATTTCTCACATCCAAATAGCTGCAGCCCCTTACCAGAGCTATGGAGAATCAAAGTGGTCAAAATTAAATGAATGAATTAGATATTATAAAATAAATTATATGAATAAATACAGACAAAATATGAAATGTAAACATTGCATTGTTAAATATTCTAATTAATCATGCTTATTTTTAGAATAAGAGTTTGTGTTACAGGTTATTTTACATTTTATTGCTGCAGTTTTTATTTCAAAATGTATTTTTTTGCCATGTTTCATCACCAAGTTTTTGTTAATCAAGACAAACCAGCTATGTGATTGGCTGTTGTTTTGGTATGAATAAGTGAACAGCCTGTGACATAGCTAGTGTCTGCAGTGCCGATTCTTTGTAGTGAACAGTGGCATTTTGAAATAAAATGGACTTTAGGAAAAAGGACATTTTGAAATAAAAACAGTCGAAATTAAATAAAAATCGACCTGAAAAGTTATGATGGAAAGAAGTTAAAAGTGAGTTTCAAATATATATATATAGTTTCAGGATTTAATTCATAGTTTGTCCGTATTTCTTCAAATGATTATATAGTTTATAATGTCTTATTTTTCTATTTAATTTGCCAACTCTGGGCCTCCATACAAAGCTTGGGAGTGTTTGTCAATGATATTTCAGCAAAATGAAATAACAAAAATGAGCTTTGCTTAAACCGACAATAACAAGTGGGAAGTGAAGTGGTCACGCCTGATCTGCAAGTATCATTTGACCTACAGTACAGAACAAAGAATGGTAAAATAAAAACAACAAAAAAACCTAATAAAACTATAAATGCACATCTTGTGTCACAAGTAAGACACCTAATTTCAGCCACAGGACAATAATTAAACATATTTTGGCTGTGTCGATTTGGTCCTGAGAAACATTACAAATTTATATTTTGCATTTGGCACCAAATCACCTTGTAATCACACACTAATACAAATTGCACAAGAAATACATTCGCCATTTGCTCATCAACTATTTCTTTCGAAAGGCAAGTCGTTTTGGAGTTTGTTTAGCAGTTAATCGGTAATAATCGGTAATTGACCGCTTATAAAAAGATGGAATAAAAACGACTTTAGCAGATTGCAATGAGTACAAAAAGGTGCAAAAGTCTTTCTTAAAATGCACTTGTCTTTGTGGTTTCCATGAAAGAATAGTTCTTAGATTTCCAAAAGCGCTGGTCTAATAACGCCTTCTTACAAAGTCCACAAGAGGTAGTATAAATGGCTCGTGTAAACAATAAATGGAACTGCCATTTGGTGGACACACATTACCCGTTGTTTTAAAGCTGCAGTAGATTAAACATCTCAACACATTATATAATTTTTCAGTCAAAAGGTCTCTCATTGTCACTTGAGGCTGATAAATGGAGAATTTGTCTAGTGCAGTTTTAAAAACCAAGTATCCATTACAAACAACCGGTCAGATTGAAAGATCAGAGCACTCCAATTAAAATTGAAGAAGTCTGTCAAAGTTGCTAAATCTAGCCAGTATCTTGTTCTGTGCATCTTTTTCCCCTGACACCATCAAAAGAGGCATTAGGTTGTGATAGTTACTGTAAAAATACCCAAATGAATGCTTTACACAAATTATTACATTCCTGATTTGTGCGTTTATAGTCTTAAAAGTTTATCAAAATGACATGTCAGACCCGTGGGTTGATAAAACAGCAACGCCTGAGAGAGAGATAGAGAGATAACATTTCCTTACCATGCGAAATTATGAATGTGGCCGTTATTGAGCCCCTGAAAAGCTAAAATTAAATCTCAAATACATCTCTGAGATTCTGTTTGACTTGTTAAAATCAAATTAAATCATATGCAGCCATGCCGCTGCCGCTGGTAGAGTTCGATCTAATCTGTTTGGTAATTAGGTTTGAATTCAAATACTGAGCCTTGTACATGAAGGATGATAACTGGAAACAGAAGCTCAGTGACGAGCCAGTATGCTGCAGAAGCTCAGTATTTTGAACAGTTGCTAGAAGCCCATCTGGTCCAAACTTTGGCCTCACTCTTAGAGCAGGACAATCTCAGTGTTATCGTGGACGCCCTGTAGAAGCAACTCGCCCTGGAAGTTGATCACCTTCCTCTTCTTGGCTGCCTTCAGGGTGCCCACCAACGCCTCGAATATATTGGCACACTGTTCGTCATTAAACAGGACGCCAAACTTCACGCTGGTTTGACCATCGTCATCTGAAACAAGAGAGTAGTGTGGATCAGTGCTTCTCAGAGTGGGGTTTGGGGACCACTCGCGGTCTTTGGAGTGGTTCCAGGTGTTTGAGAACCATAAAGTTGTTTGTAAATAGGACACAAAGATATAAAGAGGGAAAGGGAAAAGCCTTGAATCAGTTTTGTCAATTTGTACTGTACTCTCTCAATAGTTTTCCAGCTTTCTGTGCCAATTGTAATAAAGCAATAGAGATTCAACGAGCAGCAGCTCATCAGGAATAACCTGATTAGTTAGCATTAGCAGTGACAGATGCCAGGACTGTTTTTCTTGAGAAGGATAATCTCTGAGAAAATAAGTGCAGAAACACCACGGTAAAGAGCTGCATGTTCTGTTGCATTCATGGCACAGGGGCAGAAGGGAAGAACGATGAAAACCTCCAGTTATTCTGATGTTTGCCCCAGTGCTTGCCTTGAAGTCACACCAGTTAAAATGCGAATAAAGCCAAAATGAACAATTATTCTTGTGTCATTTTTATTTGAAGTGGTCAATTAGCAGGTAAGACTGAATACGTTCAGTGTACAACTCCTTTTTTAATTGTCCCGACAGACTGAATTAATGATAATATATAATAATGGCAGCTTTAGGGATGCAACAATTTTCACTCAATATGCTGATTATTATTTCGACCTATTGATAAATCATTTAGCTTATTACAATATCTAGATGCCTAAGATGATATTTTCTTCTGTTTATTATTATGTGTAGTTTTTCAAAAAATTTTGTAAATTCTTCAATTTATGTTTCTTGACTTTTGTGGTACTTTTTATTTATTTATTTTTTCTTACTATGTTTAATGTTTTGCACCAAAATACCAATTCAAATTCCTTGAATGTGAAAACTTCCATGGCAATACTCAAATTGCTTGTTTTGTCCGACCAACAGTCCAGAACCCAAAGATTAATGAATGAATAAATTCAATTAATTAATTGAGCATTTTAACTTAAAAAATGAAATGAAATTCACTATCAAAATCTTGCTTATTATTTTGTTTTTGATCAGCTAATCAACTCATTGACTAGTCACTTCCGAACTAGGTGGCTTTGCAATTTTGCCGCCCGTTTGTTGGCACATCATTATGGTCACCAAGTGGGAGATGTCATAGCGGTCTGAAATTCCCAATATTAATATGAAGGCAGCAACAATGTCTAAAAGCTTTCTGAGATACTGAAAGGCTCACAGGCAGATTATACATTTTTAGGAGTTATTTTAAGAGTAAATATAAGTACAAAGGCTGTAAAGGCCTGAGTGTTAATCAATAAGTTGATTTTAATATCTACTTCTGAGGGCTTGAATGTACCACTACAAGACCTCCGATAGAGAGACTCATTTTCTGTCAGTCCAAATATTAAATAATTGCATTGACTCCTGAGAAAAGGTGGAACTGCATCTGCTGTGAAGACTTAAATATTCTTGAGGCAGTGTGACCTGGTAGTTTATTTACGTTTCCAGCATTAGGAGTTGTGAGCTAAAACTACCAACCAACATGATTGCATGTCAACACATCATCCTCATAGCATGGACTCACTTTTACTGCCAAGCCGCTGAATCTCCTGCACCAGCAAATTTATTTCATGAGAGACATCCATAGTTGCTATAAGGGAAAACAAAAAAAACACAAACAAGACTTGTTAGCTTACTTTGATTTGTTTAAAGCATCAAATACACTGTGGGATAGGAGCAGGTATCCCTGATACATGCCACCCTCCTGCAGGGAGAGGCCACCAAACCAAACTCCGTTCAGAATTGTGTGATTTTCATGTTCTGTTTCTTCTAGGAAAAAGTAGATGCCTTCTCAAACATATGATCTTTTTAATAAAAGTACATCACTCAATTCGGTATAGGCTTAATCTGCCAGAGTTTATTTCAATAAAATGTCCATGACTGACTTTATGTGCGCCTTTGAGCTTGAATTTATTAAATGATTTAATCACAATTAAGAGCCAATTGGTGATTTAGTGTACGCCGAATTTTCAACAAGAGTAGGTAATCATTCAGAAAATGATATTAGCTTTTATTCCTTCTCACGATTATAGTTTATTATCAGCAATGTAACTCCACTTTTGCCAAATTGGTGAGTAATGTTACAAGAAAACAGGTGTTCTGCCCATTACGTGAATACAAAAGCAATTTAAATTTATCAAATATACACAAAAACACTAAGCAATACCTTTGATAGGAGTGCCTCGTGCTGTGCAGCATTCAGATCAACCTAACAAGCTACAACACGAACAGGGCGGACTAATGCGGAAATGGAGGATTAGCACTCCCAGCTAGCCAACGCAAAGCACAAATACATCCTGTTGTTCATTCGTAATAGTGATGTGTAGTCCATCATAAGTGTAGAATAAAACCCACAGTTCAGACATGTTTTACATAACTTCAGTACAAAAGAAAATATCCCAGTGAGCCGCAGACATGAGCTCGCCGGTAACGTTAGCATCTAGCGTTAAATAAGCTACCTGCTGAGGGAGGACTGGTGAGTTTCAGACTGCTGAACGGAGTTACTAAACGATTTAATGAAAGTCAACATAAACCAGTTTAAATGTAACATGAACATTTACCTTCTAGTTCTTCTTGATTTTTAATTAGATGATGGACGACTCGCTGATCAATCGGCTCCGGTGGATAATGTTGCTGCATTCAGTGTCTGCTCGGAAACGTCCACTGTATGAATTGTAAAAGTGCTTGGATTCACAGAATCAGACTAGCTTTACCTTTTTACAGTCTGTGAGTGGGAGCAGAGGGGTTCATAGATGTTAAACACAAGTTTCACTTTATTTGCTCAAAGGTGTTGTATGTAACAGAAAAGGAAGAAATTTAATGGAGGGATAAAACACACAACCACAATCAGAATCAGAAAGAGATATTGTCAAGTGGTATTTTACATGTACGAGGTATTTGCTATGGTGATCAGGTGCTAGACACAGACAAACATACAGTTGACATAAATACATGTATAAAATATCAGTGGAATAAACAGATGCAAGTTATAAAAGAGTAATAGGACAATGTGTAAAGAAAAAACATGGGGCAGCTATTTACATGTGCATTGCTCCAGATTTGTGTTGTGCAAACATATTACAATGAGAAAGGATTCGTATTTATATAAATATGTAAATATAAAAATTGACAAAACATATAAATATAGAAGAATAATAACGAATATGTGCAATATGGTTTGTGCAGTGAAATGCAGAAATGTGATATTTGTAAAAATAAATTAATAAATATACAAACAAAAAAAGTAACATGAACATCATTGTTATATTACAATTGTGTCACATAAATATAACACACTGTGATGTAAACAAATGCAAGTGTTCACAGGCTGAAATCTAATCCGTCACAAAAAAAAGGAAAAACAATCGAAGCGCAAAAAAGTCCGGAGTTTTCAGCAGTCCGAAAACTTCACCTACTTAATGAATGTCATGAGTTGTGGCTGAGAGCTTCAGAAAATGTCTAACAAGGTGACCTTCTGCTAAAGTGTAAAAAGTTAAGCTTTTTTGTATTACTGTCATGGGTTGTTTCATCTGTGGTCAGATTTCCCTTAACACTTGAAGGCACCATAAGAGCCTCATCTGACTTCGTCTTGACACAATACTCGCACGGAGACTGCCCCATATATGGCATGGAGCAGGGACATAACAACTACAACTCACCCATCTAGTCCCCCGAAAATGACTCAACACGTGTTTAATGGACAAAGAGCTCTCATCCCACTTTTAAACAAACATAGCTTTTAGCTGAGCACTGTTCATTCATTTCTCGTTGTCTGTGTTTTATCATTCTTTCATTTGGTTTCTTTGTGCCTTGTTTTTAAGTTGTTGTTGTTGGGACTGTGTTGTTTTCCTGCGTCTTATGTCTGTTTATGTTATTTTTATTTAATCCCATTACCTACAGAGGGTCTTTGTCTTCTGCCATGCCGTTATCGGTAAAAAACGTTTTATATATTCTTATATATCAGTTTTTCCCTGAATGGTGCATACTCTCGACCACACAGAAAATCTGGGCCAGGTAGTATAAGAAAAACTGAACACAATGTTCAGGCTTCGGAGGTTAAAGGGGCCAAACAGCTCATTTTGCTTTTTGTAAATGTGAAAACTTTAAAAACTGATGCATTAACATAATATTAAACACTAATAAAATACAACAATGGGTTACCTACTCCTGAATAACGCTTGTGAGTGTAACATATTCCCCTCTTTACTGGCTGTATTCTCACTACAGTAAACTGTAAAGTCTCTATCGGAACAGTCGCGCATCAGTGGTTTTATTTTGAAATCACACATCCGGGTACCTGCAGGCCAGGCAAGCTCGCGCTGAGTAGGACCGTTCACGGGACCGTTTCCCAGTGACGTCGCGAGACATAAAGCTGGCCATAAAAAACTTGAGATTATACCGAAAGTTTGTCTTCAGAACAAAAGCATTAATTTTGTGTATTTTGGAGAGTTGAATATTTTTTGGATAAATACCAGAAGTGTCCTCGTTTGCTGTGCTGCCGTTGAATTACAGTTATCTTCATTCATATATATACTCAGTAAGTTTAATTAATTAATTAAAGTCAACACTTTGGGGGATGTGGGTGATTTTTTTGTGTAGCTATATTTAGTCATAAAATATATGTTAGACACTCTCACTTGAAGAATGAAGATGTGAGAACCTCTGCAACCCCTCCAAGGACCCCAGTTTGAATCAATGCTCTACAAGACAGGTAAAAATGCATCAACCATGAAAGAGACGAGCAGATGACAGAGAGTGTTACACGTTGCCAAATACATTTACAATTAATTAAAATTACCAGGAACAATTTGTATAATAATTTTGGGGCATTTGGAGCCCTGAACAGTTTAGGGCCCCCGAAGGCAGTTGCCCACTTTGCATGGTTGCTAAATCAGCCTTCACTGCAGTCATACTCACAAATGAGCCATGGAGGAAGATATCTAGGAAAAATGTTGTTATAAGTTGGGGTTGAGGAGAAAAAAAATCACTATAGATAGTGGAGTAGCCCGTAAACTGGTGTTTTAATTTGAAAAACCGTACCGGACGTTGTACTTTAACTCCGAGTGGCTTGACCCTGGCGGTAGGAATGGCGGCTAAGATTACTAGAGGAAGGAGCCCAAAGACCATGAAACTTTACTTCTAACGGGCCCGCACAGGAATTTATTTCTTGCGAAACACAGAAACATTATCCCACAAGGGATTAAAGGGAGAAGTGCTATAACGCGGTAGACGTCCAGGCTAAGGAGGTGGACGCACTTTGCGACCTGCTAGTTAGCTTAGTGCCACTGACTTTGATTCAAGGTAGCTGTTAGCTCTAACTAGCCAGCTGTTACAGCTACTTGGCTTGGCTGGCCCAACAAGTTAACTAAGTGATTAACTGCATGAAAGCATTCCTGATTTGTTTTTTTGAATGGTGACCAGCTCCCTTTGTCACCAGATAGCATTAGGGATTTTTTCCAGAGAGTGGGATCAGACGACAATAAGTCTACACGGCGCGTTGTGAACATTATTACCGCTAACCTCAACGTTAGCTAGTAGTGCAGTAACGCTAGCTAAGTTGGGATCCTGAAGTCTCGCCCATTTTTTGGATCCTGCCCCAGCCATTGGACAAGGGCTAATCAACAGCCAACTAGTCTGGTTTCAGGTCCGATTGGTACTACGATGGAAAGTCTAACGTTGACTGATATCGAGCAGAAATATTACTCGGATTTGTTCGTTTACTGCGACACGGACAACACCAAAAAAGTGGCTTCCAATGGGAGAGTTCTTGACCTTTTCCGGGCGGCCCAGCTACCAAGCGAAGTTGTCCTGCAGGTAACGTTAAGCTAGCGTTAGCGAGTGCCAGGTTTTTAAAGTGTTGTCAGACTGGCCAGGAAACGTACGTTAGCGCTGTTGGTGGGATATTTTACAAACATGCCTGGCTGTCAGAGCTAACCTGTCATCCAGTAAAGCTATGGTTAGCCTTGGTTGTTAGCAACGCTGCGCAGCAAAAGAGACACACCTTCTTCTGGCTAACGTTAGCCAAAGACAGTGGGCAGCCACAGTCACATATAGTTAACCTTAGCTGAAGATGTTGTGTCAAAGTAACGTCTTATATATGCTACAGACTTTGGTATATCTCTGCTCTCTAAGTATGTTATTGTGGGCATGTGTTGGAGAGCGCCTAACGTGTATAACGTTGTAGCAAATTGTGCCCTCATCAGCCTCTTGCTCACTATTTCCTGTCTTCTCACTCCATCGAAATCTGTTATTTTGTTCGCCATGGTGAAAATGCAGACCTGCTTTGTCACAGTGTCCCCTTGTAAATGTGATTTATAAAAGTTGTCACCTAAACTGTCTGAAAACAATATACACGACTGAGGAATGGTGTGTCATTCAACACAACAATCTAACTTTTACACACAGACGTTGTGAATATGTATTAACCCACAAATACATTTTCTTCTTGGCAGATTATAGTATTCATGTTATGATCACACACCAACCGGGACGCCACGCAGACTGTCCCTGCTCTGTGAGTTTATGAGTAGCCAGTTGAAACTACAGCAGCCCATCCAGGTCTTTCAGCAGGCCAATATTTGCAGTTTGTGAGTCAGAATCCTTTTTCAAGGTCAACAAGGGGAGCTGTCTCCTAGAAGAATTAGGCAGTGTGTTGTAATCCTCCACTTTCAAAATGCACACTGTGTGGTGGCTTATGAGACACATACTGCTACAGTGTCATGTTGTAACAGGCTGAGAGAAAAGTCACTGGCGCTTTAGATCCACACATACTCAGAATAAGTCCTTTGTCAGCAAGAAAGGGATCAGTCAGCTGTAGCGGGCTGTTGGTGTTGTGGCTCTCAGCACTGCGGGGCTCACACTTGAGTCATCCTAATGTTGTAAAGTTTGACTCCCTGGTTGTTAATCCAGGTATCTGGTTTCCGCGTATTAATGATGTAACCATATTTGGCATTGTACACTCATCAAAAATCCACTATCTCCTGTGTGTGTTTGAACATTTTGTCATTTCTGTTTTGCTGCACAATCTACCATTTTGGACGAAGCCTGCTCAGCATGACGTACAACAAAATATGTGATAATCTGGCTTAGTAGTGGTGAGACCCACTGAGCATCTGCCAATGAACAGAGTAAATGAGACTTTTGCTGTTTTTGTGACTTAAAGCAGGTAAACTGTACCGCATTACGTTGTAGGAAGACTCAAGTACAACAAATAAAGTGTTTACAGTGTTGCTTGTGACCACTAAACCCTAAATGTTAGTTAGGGTATATATTATTATTAGGTGTTAAATTTAGTATGAATTGTCAGAGGGACAATCTTCTCTTCTCTCAATGATGGTTAATATGAGCATTTCAGATGAATACAATATCCTTAACTGTTCCTTTCTTGTCCTTGTGTGTGGGTTCAGATCACAGAGCTATGTGGAGCCACTCGGCTGGGTCACTTCGGGCGCAGCCAGTTCTACATCGCTCTGAAGCTCATTGCCGTTGCCCAGGCTGGTCTGCCCCTGAGGGTGGAAAGCCTCAACTCGGGTGAGTCCACCTTTGAATCAAATCATTGATCTTTCTTCAGAACCACCTCTCACTCAAGAAAGAACAGATTCCCACTCAGCGCTATCATAAAAAACAAACCGGGTTCTCAGACTCTGGGCCTTTCTGTTTCTCTCAAAGCTTGTATGTGTGGTGGTGGTCAAAATCTGTATTTATTTTAAAAATCGTAGCTTAATGAATTTGAGGAGGTCATGGGACAGGAAGCAAGGGGCAGTGTGAAAGACTTCTTCTAAGGAAGTCCGTGAAGAATGCAGTCTGTTACCTAACTGTGCATATGATGTGCTTAATTAATACTATAAAAAAAAGCTTGAAAAAGTAACTGAAATGCTTTTTGTTGGGTGTGTTAGATGCTTAAAACGTGCAATCTGTGGACACTTTGTGTGTCAGTTGAAATATTCAGTTGGTAGAGAGGGTTGGCCTTTAATCGTAATGTCCTTGAGCAGGGCACTGAACCCCAAACTTAATGTTATCAGAAATTATTTGATACGTGTTATGACAGCCATTTTGCACAGTTTGTCTCAGTAGCCCAATGTTTGTGTCACCAGGTGCTTGACAGTAAGAGCTGTTTCTACTAGCTTTCTTTATCTTGACTAAACAGAGTTTGTAGTCGGAGGCCTTGAGGGTTTAACTGCAGTATTGCATTTTTTTCTGTTTGACACACAAGGGAAGATATCACAGTCACCTGCTTCATGACGTTACTTGTTTGGCCTGAAATGTTGCAACACAAAGTTGTTGAAATAATTTCATAATTTGATAAAAATATAAGGAAGCACAGAGGCCACTTCCTCCATAGCACAGTTGACATGATGTGCAACTTGATGCTTATTAGGGACGTCTTAAAGATAAGGCTGTCTGAGAAGGGAGTTAAAAATTGTTGTTTGCTTTTTGCTATCAGAAAGCCCAAAGTCACCTCGCTCTTGTTGAGGACTCTGACTCTGAATAGACAGTGGTTTTCTTGAACTATTTCAGGGGCTAAAGCTTTCAAAGTTAAATAGTAAGCATTATAAATAACTATTTTACATGTAGAATATGAAAAGTGGCCGAGTCCAGATCCCTTTAAAACAATTTAATACATTCATGACATTATCACTTTATTCTATAAATCTGTTTAGTTAATACATTTTCAGTACATTCAAATAATATATATTCTTTTTTGTTTTGGCATGTCGAACCATACCAAAATGAACAGACTGAGAAAACTATTAAAAATGGTATTTAATGATAATAATAAAGTACTATGGCGTTATTTTATCGTTGAAACCTTTTAAATAAGCCACATTTTAGAAATACCAGTTGTTTTAAAGCTATTGAGAAAATTGCATGTTCTCAGATGTCAGCGTGGCACAACTGTAAACATGGGACTTCTATTATGAAGTAAAGTGAAGTGATAACAGTAAAGACGATATTGCATCATCAAGAGGACCAGGTGACCTTCATGGCTGAGTGAAAAGGTCTATAGATCTCTCAAATACGTAGATGCTTTCTATGCAGCACCGTTAAAAGCAGAACAACAACAGTAACTGTAAAAATGAAACAGCAAAAATGTCATTTTGTTATCAGTCCTATGGCAAACCAGTAGTGGGGACTTTTTTTCTGTTGTCACTATTTTATTCTGACATTCAGCCTCATGCAAATCCACTGTAGGGGAAACAAACACTCTATTTACTGCAGCAACAGTATCTACAAAACACCAGCATTTCGGTGTATGTTTTATTTTGAGGAAGCAGCCTTGCTCTTCCTGAAGGGTATACTCTCACACTGTTGGTCACATTTACAGCTTTTGAACACCTGTACGCCATATCAGATTTGCAACAAGTCCTTGCTCCTTCTCTAGGCATTCTGGGAAATGTAGGGAGTCAATAACTGAAGTAGAAGCAGAAGAGGCAGGATGAAGGAAAGTGGCTACACCGCAAAAGTAAACTCATCAGCAAAAAAAAAAACTTGAGAAATCCACTAAACATCACAGACTGATGATTTCTGACAATTTTAGCGCGATAGGGAGTGATTTCGGTCTTCAAGCGTAGTGCATTTTAAGCACCTGCAAATCAATATGAAACATATCTGTCCTTTTAATCCTATGAATGGATTCCCGTCTCACCAGTCAAAGACCTGCCGCTGCCCAGGTTCGTGGTGGGGAAGAACGAGGCGGAGGCGAGGCACGCAGCGCTGTACCAGGACACAGACAGTCAGGGGTTGTACCCGGGCTCTGCCACCGCCGTAATACCCAGACCACCAGGCCGGGGTCTCCAGAACAAGAAGGGTCCCCCATCATCCACTTCACTTCCTGTCCACGAGGTTATCCAGCCTCTGGCACCCAGCATAGAACCACAGGTTAGGAATTTTACTTTTTAATGTTTTATAATATATTGTTTCTTGGAGTTAACTATCCTTTAATATAAAAATACATTTATGTATGCATAGACAATAAATTGAGGTATTAGATAAGACAAACAACTTTCTTTTCCCACAATTAGTCCTGCAATAACTGCTTTAAATATGAACTTTTGAACTATTGTCTGTCTTTTGGGGAACATGATACGCACATTTTATTTCTTCCTACAGCTGAACCCAGCAGTTACTAGAGATATGCCACAGGAATACTGATGCGTTTCCTGTGTTTTTTTTCCTGTGCATATCTGAGTACTTCTAGTTCAAATTGCTGTCTGAAGTTTTCTGCTGCTGGCTTTTCTTTGCTGAAACCAGCAGCGGGTTGCCTGTCAGTTGTGTGGACCTCTTCCTTGACTGTTATCTATTTGCATCTGTTGTGAAATGTTCATTCACTGGTGGCTTGAACCTGCCATATCTGTGATGAGCAGATAAAAAGCTTTGAAGCAGTATTTATTGGCCCGTATTTGGCTCCGACGTGGTATGTTACAGATGTAAATCTTTTTCTCAGATTAATGTTTAAGATACAATCTAAACGTTAATACCCAAAGCACATGAAACTGTAATAAGACAGTAGTGGCTACACTTTCTTTATTGGCAAATTAAGATTTTAAAAGATTGCATGTCTGGAGATCTGCATACATATTTCATGCGTTTTATTGTATTTGTGTTCTCAGCCTGAGCCGACATCCCCGGTGGTCTCCCCTCACCAGTCCCCACCCACCTCCCCTCACTCGTGGAGGAAACACAAGCGGCAGCACAGCGGAGGAAACGCAGAAAGACAGCCGGTGGTGGCTGCAGCTGGAGCTGTGTGGACGCAGTTCAGAGAACCACAAACAGGTAACGTCTTTTTTTCAGTCACTTTTCCTCAACAAAATAAATATCTTAATAGAAGAATTAAGTGCTAATTCATTCGTGATTCAAATTAATTAAATTAAACATTTATCGACAATATAATAATCATTTGTTATATTGTTATTGACGACAATTATATTGCAATAGTTATCATTATTGTTTAATTGCCCAGCCCTGCTCTGTGGGCCACAGCTAGTCAGCACGGAGCACATTTGGTTGTGTTTGTGTTACTTCCTGGTGTTTGCAGCTTATACATAACTGATCTTTGCTGAGAGTGACAGTTACGGCAGTTACTCATTAGGGGAACAAAATGGATCACATGGCATGTGTTTCATCAGCACAAAATGGGGTGGAAATATTACCAAAAAAAGAGAGGTATGAAAATAATTCCTTTCTAGAGCTGCAGTGATTAAGTAGTAAACTCTACATCTTTGGGTTTTCGACTAATGGCATCTCTATTTCTTTCCTAATAACATCTGCTGTATATTTGTGTGTATTATGGGATCTCTCTATATGTTTTACTCTCCTCTCCCTCCCAGGTCCAGTGCCCAGTGATGGCATGTGGCCCTCCCACTCGCCACCCCCTCCAGGTCAGGAAAGTTGGGTCAGTTTCACAGCGGACACCCCGCCATCCAGCCATCCGCTCCCAGCAATGCACCCCTCCTCGGTCCAGGTACGGCAGTGTTACGCTTCTGTCTACGTCTGAATTACCACCATAAAATTGTATATGATGCTAAAAAACATTTATTCAGTAAGTGGTTGTGCAACAAACTAGTCTTAGCACTGTCAAACAACACTACCAGCTAATCACACAGCAAAAACTGGGTTTCCCTTGAGCTCACATATTATTTTAGTTTTCATGTACCTCCTCTGACCTTTAGATAGAACAAGTGATAATACCAAGTATTCAGCACAAATTAGTAAGTTATGAGAATAGCTGCGCTTAATAATGCAGACATCAACAGCTTCTTTAAACGGATGAAAAGGCCTCATGAGACATTGCTAACTGAAAACATGAGTTATCTAGCTTATTAACCATAGTGGTGCCTCAAATATGAGTCATGGTTTTATATCAGTGTTTTATCTGCCAGCAGTGCAAAACTAAAACTCTAGCAACTTGTGTGACATTGTCATGCTGAGCTAAACATAAGATCTTTCCCACTAGTCCAAATTCACAGAATAATGTGACACTTTTGATATAATTAAAGTCTTTTGAAAGTGCACCAGTGTTAAGGTTGTGAGCAGAAAGACGCACACAGTTCATGTAGCCACTGAAGAAACTATACTTAAAGAGATTAGAGTTTTATTTTAAACCATTTTACTTAATTCTGTGTATTCTCTTTAACCAGTGCTACTTTCTTAAATGTTTCCCATGCGGGCTTCCCATAGGAAAGCACAACGATACGAACTGTGGCCTCAGCAGCAATGACCAATGAGATCCAGCGACAGTCCAGCAGTTACGATGATCCGTGGAAGATCACGGATGAGCAGAGACAGTATTATATTAACCAGTTCAAAACCATCCAGCCAGACCTCACCGGCTTCATCCCTGGTAGGAAAATGCAGACACGCACACGCAAAACAAGACTTGTGTAAAATGTTGATTGTTTTAATCATTTAATTACTCTGTTTGTTCCTGTTCCAGGTTCAGCCGCAAAAGAGTTTTTCACCAAATCAAAACTACCTATTTTAGAGTTGTCACATATTTGGTGAGTCGTCACTATTCTGCCAATCTCGTTGTCTGCTGTGTTCGTCCATCATGGAGATATTTAGTGTACCATGTATAGGGATGGGGATCGTTAATTTTTATTGATATTGACACCGTTATTGAGACTGCTTAATTATCCCATTCTTTAACGACTATCAATACTTTACTATTATTTGGTGACGGTGGTAAGACCAGCCCCGACGGGCATGAGGTAGGCCTGCACGGTATGAGGAAAGTTTTCAAGCGATAACATTGTTATATATTGAGATAACATATGACTTGCTATAAATAAACAAATATTAAAGTGTGCTTATTGTTTCTAGAGCAGCAACATTAATGTTTACAACAGCAAAGGCACTATATATAAACTCAATATCTGACATCACAATACTATGTGACGTTTAGAAAGAATAAAAACTCAGACATCAGTCAATATCAGTCCCTCCTCCTCTCTGCTGTTATTCACTGCCTGCAGGTAACGTTACCTGGTTGAAGGAGGAGCGGCTGGTTTGTCTCAGCCAGCAGCTGTGTTTGCAACAATGTGCCAAATTTTAAGAATACAGACCAGTCTCTGCTCCAGACAGACATCTTTCTATGTAGCTTGTTTGTAACATTTGGGTAATTGCCAAGCTAATGTTAGCTGTGCTTGTATCAAACAAACAGGATGAGAGACTGAGGACAGAGATGATTAAATTAACCCTTTCTACATGTTTACCTTACAGACGGGTGTATTGAAAAAGTATTGTCTTAGTAACAAGCGTAGCTGTCGGCAACTCGAGTAGTTTGGAGCAAAGTTAACTTCAAGCCTTCCACTGCGAAGGCGTGGCGTGTAGGACCAATGTAGGACCCGCTAGTCTCGATAGCAGTATCGATAAGCTCGGACCTTAGTGATTTTCGGATTTTGAGAAACCGGGTCCTTTTAGAACCCGGGTATCGATCCCCATCCCTAACCATGTAGATATCTGAATCACCGCTGCAACTATCATCAGACTGTTTGACCATCATATGAAAAGTTCATAATTGTTTTTAACATGGTAGATTAGGGCAGGTTGGCAGTAAAAGTCAGTTATCAATAATTTCCGTATTTATTCAACTTGGAGAGCCATTAAATGCTATAGGATTGGGCACTAACAACCATTTTCATTATTTTCATTATTTTGTTTACATTACATTATGTAGTGCTACTGATCTACTAGTCCGCACAGCCTTCTATATGTGACAGGAAATCAGCATTTTCTGATAAATGAGTAGCTCCAGAGAGCTAAATATTGGCTTTTTACTGGATAAATTGCTTGAAGGTGGGGTATGCAATTCTGGTGAAGTCACAATGACAAATACCATGATATAGTGCAAACAATGACTATGCAATGTAACTAAGTTGTGGGTTAGCAGGCTGTTACTACAGTTGCTGTTGCAAAGTTAACATGCAGACGTGCACAGTTGACATGATGTGCAACATGCAGAGGACGAGAGGGTCCCAGAGCCAGCACACCAGCTCCAGAAAGTGACACTCACAACTCTCCTGCTACTAGCTGACATCACAACAGCATGTCTTGGCAAGCTGGAAAGTAAGCTCAATGTCCATGGGCAAGTCATTTACCATTACCTGACACACAAATCATGGCTGATGTTGTGTGACTAGCAGACCGTGGGGAGATATTAGCTGAATTTGACAAAAAGATGTGTATTTGATTAGAATTGCTTACCCCATCTTTAAATGCATCTGAATAACGTTGAACTGCATTTCAAAAACCAGTTGTCAGCTTTTGTTACGAGTCTTCATTTTGATTGTCATAACTTGTTCTGAGGAGGACTTGTCCCTACTAGTATCATTAACTCATAACAGTACTGAGTGTGAACATGACTGTATTCAGCTCATGAATTGGGTAACGTTGTGCGTCAATGGACCGTATGCTGCTTACTTATGCCCACACGAGCATCTGAAACAACATCTGAGCTAGCAAGAGCAGGCTAAACCTTTTGAATGATGTGAGGTAGATAGAGTCAGATTGAAAGGCAGGTGGTCCATTTTGAAAAAGATCTCCGCTGCACCTGCAGTTGCCATTGTTTTGTCAGGACGACCCACTCACTGATATCTGATTTGTGTTTAAAGGGAGCTGTCAGACTTCGATAAAGACGGAGCGCTGACCCTGGATGAGTTCTGCGCTGCCTTCCACCTGGTTGTGGCCAGGAAGAATGGCTACGACCTCCCTGAGAAGCTGCCTGAGAGTCTGATGCCAAAGCTGATTGACCTGGATGACTCAGCAGGTACGCTCGCTCTCTCTCTGCCTCTCTCTCTGCCTCTCATGGTCATCTCTCTGTTACTCCTTATCCTAATTTTCCGACCTCAGGCCTTATAAAGCCTGGGGAAGGTTAAGGCACTGCAACTTGCAAAAACTGAACTGCAGTAGTTCTTGTTCATTTATAGGTGTACTTTCGATGATGGAGCTACTGTGCGTTTCTGCTGCCTTTTTAATGTCACATCTGCTCATTAGCTGAACACCAAAATCACCTTGTTAATTGAGCACTATTTATTTAGCACATAATAGATAAAAGATAGAGATAGAAGATAAAATTCTTTGCAATGGAGATCATTGTTTTCTGTATTTTAACAGAATTGAATTTTTTAAGAGATGTTAACACATTAGGCAGAATTATTTGTCTCTGTTGGGGGTTTCAAGTTTCATGTAAATCTTTTTTCAGCCATGGATTGCCAGATAAATTCTGTTACATTGTTTCTAAAATTGCTAGCTTTCATTTTAATAATATATCTTCTTAACAGCAGAGAGAACATTTTAGTAAACTGCTCAGACATACCACCAGACCAGTTTAAGCTTTCTCTGCATAACCTCTGATTAAATTGAATTGTTTTGTTTTATTGGTTATAAATTTAAATTTTTAACAAATTTATTAAATAATTCAAAGACTGTGTTATTTCTTCTTTCCAAAGTTACTCATTCTCACATTAAAGATGTAATAATGTTGTTTCCCCCAGAGGACCGAAGCCGTGCTCTTTTCAGATTATTTATTGCCCTTTGTTTACCGTCTGGACCCCTAATATTTGTGTTTTTTGGTTGTTGTTAAGGGATCTAACTAACCTGTGTGTAATATTTCATGTTCAGAGGTCCCGGAGTCGACTGCTGACGTTGGATACTCGGGCTCCCCAGTGGAGGTCACACCCAACAAATCTCCCTCCATGCCTTCACTCAACCAGGCCTGGCCAGAGATGAACCAGAGCAATGAGGTTCCCACATGCACACGACACACACAATAACTCATTGTATTTTCACACATCCTTTAAGCTCTACATTTGTTTGTTTTTGCTATGTTTTGCATTTGTTTAATCATAATTAATTGCTCATGGTTAATTAGGTGAATTTGCTTTATCTTTATCCATCCATCATGACTACATCGCCACTTCATCCTGTTCATTAGCAAACATAATTACTGATAATTCAGCACCTCTTCTTCCACTTCCTGGACTGTGGTGGTAGCCTGCTGTTCTGTATGAAAGTCGGAGATGTCTGTTTTGTTTCCCACTGATGTGGCCGCATCACCACGCCGCCTGCCAATGACTGATGATGTCCCGTCATGGTAGAGGCTCAGGCTGATGATGGAAATGTGTGATGTCACTGCACTGGCTGACTGATGTTTTTTCTCACTGTCTGTCTGTCTCCTGCAGCAGTGGGAGACGTTTAGCGAGCGCTCCTCCAGCTCACAAACTCTGACCCAATTTGACTCTAACATTGCACCAGCTGACCCTGTAAGTCAATCACTTAGTATGCATGGTTTCACCATTAATGGACAGACATTAACCCTCTATGGATCTCTATGCATTCTCTCTGGCTCTGTCTCTCTTGCTCTGTCTCTCTCTCTCTCTCTCTCTTGCTGTGTCACTCTTGTCGCATGAAGTTCTTTCAAAGTGCAGTCTGCTGCATCAGCAGTGGCCGGTGTGTGTTGTGATTTGGCTGGCTTAGCTTCTATTGGACATCACCTTTTTTTTCCTACAGTGACATCCACCAATCACTATTGCTTTTGCAGATTGTTCCATATATGGTCAATACTGTAAGTACTTTTGAATGTGTAAAACTGCGTGGTGTTTTGGTCATTTACTGCTACTGAAGTCCTTTGAATTTCCTTTCCTTACAGCAATAACTGGCTCACGAAAAGCTCTGCACAAATAATCTGACGAAAGTGCAGTACCACAGTTTGCTTTATTGCAAGCGTGTGCATCTTTTTTTGATTGCTTTTAGGTGCGCTGAAATTCTGGGCATTAACCCTACCAGAAATCATTGAGTAGGACCTGCATAGTGACACAAAAGTACCCCTAAATTTTTTTAATGTCCTTTTTTCAGCCCTCCCAATTAGGAATGACAATAATAAGCTGCTTTTAATGAAATATCACAGGTAGATGTTTTTACTAAGATGGTGTAATGTGCACAGAGGCTGTGGAAGAATCTATACTGCATTATACAAAAAATTATGTATGTTCTTAAAGTATCAAAAATAAAAGCATTCATAATGCAGAAAAATAGCTCATGGGCAAGTGTTAAATTATTATATATAATATCATTGGATTATTATTACTGACGCTATAGTCATAGTGAGCAGCATTTTACTGTTGTAGCTGGTCGATGTAGAGACAATTGAAACAATTTTAGACACTATTGGGTTCAGTTTATAACAATGTGTCAAATTTTATATACTCATCTTATGTTTTGTATGTAATATCTTAATCTTTCAAGTAAATAGTAACTACAGCTGTCAAATTATTAAAGTGGAGTAAAAGTATAAAGTAGCATAAAATGGAAATACTCAAGTAAAGTACAAGTGCCTCAAATTTGTACTTAAGTAAAGTACATATATTAACCAACTCAGCCCAACTGACAGAAGATGCCGTGTTCAGAGACCTGTTGTCTTGCTAACAGTTTAAAAAGCAGCCCTCTTATATCACAATATTTCAATTAGAATATTCAGAAAAGTTATGTTGTCAGTATTATATGTCTTCTCTTGAAATAATGAATATTGAAAATTGTGAAAATGGGCCAATCCAAAAACAATCACAAAGTCTCTTTGTTTGCGTTTGATACACAAGGCTGTTTTTGTGCGTAAAACCAAATGAACTAACAGATGGAGGAAAAGGCCTGACAAAGTAAACGGATGATGTTCCTTCTCTTTCTGTGAAACCTGTTTCTCTTCCTTCATAAATCTGTCTGTCTCACCTCTTGACCCTTTTTATCTGTCCTTCAGGACACGGCCATTGTCCACCCAGTTCCCATCCGGATGACACCTAGTAAGATCCACATGCAGGAGATGGAGCTGAAGAGGACTGGCAGTGGTGAGACATCATCATTTACAGTTATATAAATATACAATGTAATCAGTTTCTGTCATTATGTGTGTTTTATGGAACGCAGTGTGAGGGGCTTAAAATCCCTACTGAATGTGATTTAAAGCTAATATGAAAGAAAAGTTTTACGTGCATTAGAAGCCATACCATCACATTTTGGATGAGTATGAGAGTGCATGTTTACCTGGCCCAGAACATTGTGTCCCCTTGCTGAGTTTGCAATGTGGTGCAGTCCACACATGACTTACGTGAATGACTAATCATTCATGCAGCACACCTGAACACACCACCGCTCACTGAACAGATCTCTACCTCACTGCCACAAACAACTGTCTCCACCTGCTGGCATGTAAAACTGTCTGCTCCCAGCGCTGCTCCAAAGACTTCTATTCCTGTCATCATCACGCATAGACCAGTAAACCGAAAGGTGCACATCCCACACAGAAATATTAGTAATCTCTTAAGGATTAGGACAACTGCACCAACTCCAGCACCCAGAACAAGCTCATTTAAAATGGCTTTCTTCAATGTGAGATCTCTGTCAAGTAAGACTTTTATCTTAAATGATTTTATCTTGTCTGCAAATCTAGATTTTATGTTTTTAACTGAATCATGGTTGCAAATGAATGACTATAGCCAGCTAGCTGAACTGCGTCCGCCTCAATATGATTGTTTTAGTCATCCGAGGGTCAGTGGTCGTGGTGGTGGGCTAGTGAGCGTGTATAGGAAATATTTAAAATGTCATCAAGTACGCTGTGATGAATTTAACTCCTTTGAAGTTCTCACTCTTAAACTTGGAGGGCTGCAACCTATCATATTTGTTATAATTTATCGCCCCCCAAAACCGCCTGGAGGATTTTTATCAGAGCTTCCTGAATTTTTATCTACTCTGGTTTTAAATTATGATAGACTTGTTCTTTGTGGCGATTTTAATATTCATGTTGATGACCCCACCAATATTAATGCAACTGACTTTTTAAATATGGCCACTTCTTTTAACTTCAAACAACATGTCAAAGGGCAAACCCATAACCGTGGTCATACACTGGACTTGGTTTTTACCCAGGGTGTCAGCATTTCCTCTGTGGAATTAGTGGACATGACCATATCTGACCACAGATGTATTGTTTTTAGCTGCGATTCGCCTGTTACTCATGCCGCCTCACCAAGCTCTGTGTGTTGTCGCATCTTTAATGAACAAAGTGTTTCAAAGTTTTGCGCATTCTTTCAGAGCCAAAGCCAACACCTGTCTGATTCCAACACCAACAATCTGGTCGATCACTAAATATTACTGCTCCTCTAAAGGTTAGGCCTACGTCTAAAGCTAGTAAGCAACCCTGGATAAATGAGCATCCGCAGCCTAAAAAGGGAATGCAGGAAAGCAGAGCGCAGATGGAAAAAATCCAGTCTACAAGTCCATTACCTCAGTCTGAAGGATTTATTAATTAACTACAATAACATGGTTAAGGATGTGAGAACACACTATTTTTCTGAACTCATTACTACACATAAACACAATCCCAGGTTTCTGTTTAAGAATGTGGATCAGCTGGTAAACCCAACCCCTCCTTGTGCCTCAGCTGGAAGTAATGATGACTGTGAATTGTTTTTATCTTATTTTACCAATAAGGTGGTGTCAATCAGAGCCTCTATTACCCCCGCGGCCTCTTACTCAGAGGTTCCTCACCAGCAACAAGAGAGCTTTAACCAGTTTTATCCCATCGACTTGTCTGAGCTTTTAAAAACAGTATCACAAATGAGAGTGTCCTCCAGCCCACTTGATGTAATACCTACAAAGTATTTACTGAAAGTAATAGATTCTGTTGGGCCCCATTTGATCTCTGTTTTCAACAGCTCCCTATCTACTGGTTGTGTCCCTGATTATTTTAAAATGGCTTGTGTGAACCCACTTTTAAAGAAACCTGGTTTAGATCCCTCCCTCCCACAAAATTTTAGACCAATTTCAAAACTGCCTTTTATTGCAAAGATTCTAGAAAGAATTGTGTCCAAACAGCTGCTCACTGTACTGGAAAATAACAATTATTTGAAAAGTTTCAATCTGGTTTCAGGAAGTACCACAGCACTGAGACTGCCCTGCTTAAAGTCACCAATGACCTTTTAATGTCTGCTGATGAAGGTATGTGCTCAGTCCTGGTACTCCTGGACCTTAGCGCTGCTTTTGACACTATTGATCACAACATCATGTTAGACAGACTGAGGCACTGGGTGGGGATCTCTGGTACTGCCCTAGAATGGTTTTCATCCTACCTGTCAAATAGAAAGTTTTGCGTGTCTGTAAACAACTATGTCTCTTCGTTCTGTCCAGTTAAATATGGTGTGCCTCAGGGGTCGGTCTTAGGACCCATTTTGTTTTCCTGTATCTGCTTCCCCTTGGACATATTATCCATAAACATGGTATTTCTTTTCATATTTATGCTGATGACACACAAATATACTTGCCTGTCAGATCCACAGACCCTGGAATGCTGAGTTCATTAACAACTGCCTTTGTGAAGTTAAAAAATGGATGTCAAATAATTTCCTCCAACTGAACTGAACAGAAATCCTGGTCATCGGGTCCCAGCAGATAGCAAAACAAATACTGCCATCTGCTGGTTCCCTAGTAAATCACATTAAGCCTGTGGCAAAGAACCTTGGTGTTTGGTTTGATAGTAATTTAAATTTCGAGCAGCACACCACAAAGCTTGTTCAATCATGTTTTTTCAACATAGAAATATAGCAAAAATTCGATCTATGTTAACTTTTAAGGACTCCGAGACCATTTTACACGCCTTCATCTCATAACGCCTGGATTATTGCAACAGCCCTTTTCACTTGTTTAACCCAAAAATCTACTGATCGACTCCAGACTGTCCAGAACTCAGCTGCCAGGCTTTTAACCAGAACAAAGGAATATGACCACATTACTCCTATTTTAGCTTCATTACACTGGTCCCAGTATGTTTTAGAATTGACTTTAAAATTCTATTGATCACTTTTAAAGCTCTTCATGGCCTCTCGCCTTGTTATATTTCTGAACTTTTAGTCCCATACGCACCAGCACGCACCTTGAGATCCTCGGACAGAGGTCTGTTGTCTGTTCCAGAGTCTCGACTGAAAACTAAAGGGGACAGAGCGTTTGCTGTCAGGGCCCCGAGGCTCTGGAACAGCCTGCCCGAGGAAATCAGGTCGGCTGAGTCAGTGAACTCTTTTAAGTACCTTCTTAAAATATACTTTTATAGGAGAGCCTTTCCCGATCTTATTTGACTTTATTTTATCCCTTTTATTGTATTTTACTAATTTTATATTTATCTTAAACGTGTATTTTAGTCTTTTCAATGTTTTCATGCTTTTATCTTGTATTGTTTTGTATTATTGTCTCTTGGGTATTATTGTCTTTACACTTGTTAAAGCACTTTGTAACTTGTGTTACAACAAGTGCTCTACAAATAAAGTATTATTATTATTATTATTATTATTATGATGTGGGAGAGGTAAAGAAAACACAAGAGGCTGCTATTTGTTATGAGTAAACAAAAACCTCATGAAACATAATCAGTCTGGATTTTTGTATTCATAAACATGCAGTGGAAATGTAATAAGTCAGGCTTATTAGTACTTTTTAAAGCTGCTACTGAAGTTCTTTTGGGGTGAAATTAGTAGAAAGACTGCAAACGGTTCATTTTCTGTTATTGTCATCCTGTACAGTTGATAAACTCAACACTTGCGTCTCGCTCACTCACTGCGTTATTTGTCAAACCTTCAGACCACAACCACCCTACCAGTCCACTGCTGGCTAAACCTCCCGAACTGTCCGAAGAAGCCAATTTATCTGCCTCCATGAAGTTTGTAGCCGCCAACACTGTGGGTGAGTAAAGGATGGGCTGCTGAGTCCATGCTTAAAAGAGTACTCCACTGATTTTAGATTGCGCTACTGAAACATTGTCAGACTCATGATGGACAGGTTAAAAAACAATATCAAAACAGATGAGAAGAATCAAGAGATATCGTCTTTTTTTGGACCGTGATTTCTTCTTCCTTATTGAAACCCGATTCTGGTGAGTTATGCTAGTTGCTCGAGCCACTGGCCTGAGGCAGATATGAGGAACTACAGAGGTCTGATAAGTGCACTTCTAACTCCACACCCCCCTGTTTGTTTTTGTTTTGTTTCAAACTTATATACTTCAGACCTTAACTGATGCTGACTCAAGTGACATCACTTCAGGCAACATATGAGATTTTGCGCAGCTCCCTCTGGAGCGCCAAAAGGCGTTATACAACTTGTGTTTCACACATTCAGTAGTACTCCTCAAGACCTGTAAACAGACTGTGTAAAATCAGTGAAGTTTACCTTTTAATTGAGGCTATAATAATAAATAATCTCCAAGAAAAATGTTGAAATTTTACAACAAATTTCAAAATTTTTCTTGTATAATTTCTGTTTCTATGCTTTGTGTTGTGAACTGCACATTTTTAGATTGTAGGTTGATCAAGTGTTTATGAGCTGCGTTTTTTTTATTTTTATTTCCGGCATGAAGGTGACGGTTACAGCAGTTCAGACTCTTTCACCTCAGACCAGGAGCCAATCACAAGACAAAGGTCGGTAGCTATCATGTGATTTAGTTTTGTTTATGTTCTTTATTGTTTATGTTTTTTTCTTACACTTTCTCACTGTAATTTACAGCTCATACACCGTTATCACTAGTATCAGTGTTTTTTATCTTTGACCATATTTCCACTTTTATTAACATCTGCTCAGATAATTGTAATTTTAAATAGATTCAGTAAACATTTTTCATCCTATCCTAACTCCAGAAACATAAACGTTTGTGTTCAGGTCGCAGTCGGGTACGTCTCCAGAGGCTCTGAAGGTGGTAGCCCCGCCTCCCCCTCCACCCCGCCCCCACCCCTCTCACTCTCGCTCCTCGTCTCTCGACATGAACCGCACCTTCGCTGCCACATCTGCACCCGGACAACCACAACCGTCTACGATAGCTTACCCGCCTGCTGTGCCACCTCGACCGCTGCCCACACAGGTAAGAAACACTGTTTTACTTTACAGCAGCAGCAATGCGTTCAGGTACTACAGTGCAACGCATCACAGGGTCACAAGGTCTAACTGCATCACGTAATCACATATCCTGCATCAGGTGTGATTCGACTTATAAGAATGACCTTCACCTCGCTCTTCCCTCTCTCTAGACATCAGTACCACATACCGGCCATCGCATAGAGGCAGAGGGTGCGCCTGGAGGCGGGGTGGTGCTCACCAGCACCTCCCCCCCAACAGATTCCCCAGCAGCCCAATTTTGCAGACTTCAGTCAGTTTCAGGCCTTCGCTGCGTCTGAACAGCCTTCCAGCCTCCCGGAGGTCGATATGCACAGTGAGCCTGGACAGGTAGGTTGTTACCTGGAGTGTGTTTATCTCTACGTCTAAGTAGTATCTGTCTACCATTTCGTTGATAATGTGATTTAGGGTTGCACGATATGATAAAACAAATCATATTGCGATTATTTTGAAAGATTAAGATTTACGATATGATTCTCGATTAGTGGGAATGATCATTTTTGCATCACAATATTTTTTTCACAAAAACAATTCATATCAAATCATAATGGTATGACATTTGTTGGGCACTGTACCAAAGAAACATGTTTTCTTACATCTGGGGAACAAGATTTGTAGGCCGGGACATCTCAGCAGCTCTACAGTACTGTTTTGCCACACATTTTACCTTCATTAAAAAATTGCAGCTTCTGCGATTTGGATATTGCAGTTGGTCATATTTCGATTAATTGCGCAGCCCTAATGTCTTTCTGTGTCCACAGGCGGAGAAGTCATCTGAGGGAGCCGGCCCTTTAAGAACAGTGAAGAGTGAAGGCCAGGCAGATGAGAGAGTCTCAGCTACTGTCAACTCTGTAAGTCAACATCTGGTGGTGTCATCTGAAGGTGTCACATCTTTGGTAATTACTGCGAATACATGAGAGAATATTAAACTATTTCTTAATGTGACACAGCTCAGGATAGATCAGAATCAGGAAGATCAGGGTTGCAGCATTTAAGCTGCTGATTATTTACTTGATTCAGTGATTGATTATTTTGTCGAGAAATAAGAGGCAAATGAAAAATGCTGATCAGTTTCCCAGTCTTCAAACTGCTTGTTTTGTCCAACTTATTGTCCAAAACCCAACTATATATATTCAGCACTATCATATAAGATGCCGGAACCAGCACTTTTATTTAGTACGTATTGCTCAAAATGATTACCAAATTGATTGATTATCAAAAAAGTCAATATAATCGACTTATAGTTTCAGCTCTAAGTACATTTCATAAGATAACTTTTGACCTGTCAAACGTCATGAATACAGGTGAAAGCTTCGTTGCAAACAGTGAAAGGAAGCGGTGTTGTTATTGTCTTGGTTTTGTTTTCCCATCAGGTCAAGGGTTCGTCTGGTCCTCTAGCCCCTCCCCCAAAACCTGTGCGCCGAAGGTTGAAGTCGGAAGACGAGCTTCGACCGGAGGACGAACAACACGGTCCGCAGAAATCAAACGTCATAGCCGCCGTCCTGGCCACTCAGCCCTCCATCCCCAGGTAGAAAACATGGTCGGCTGGTTAACAAGACTGCAGAAGGTCTTGCTTAGCATAAGGGTTTTATTTTGTACATATTGCCTTTTAGTACGTAAGTGTGTATATTTGTGTGTTTTCAGGTCAGTGGGAAAGGACAAAAAGGCGATTCAAGCTTCAATCAGAAGAAACAAGGAGACGAACACAGTGTTGGCACGACTTAACAGTGAATTACAGCAGCAGCTGAAGGTATGTAGGATGTGCACTTTTGTTTTCTTTCTGAGTCTTTCCTCTCTGGCAAAAACGCTCTCATAACTTGTCATTTTCCAGGACCTGCTTGAAGAGAGGATATCCTTGGAAGTCCAGCTGGAGCAGCTCAGGCCTTTCTCTCATCTTTAACCAACGTGAAGAGGGAAACTCTGCTGTAGTTCATCCGAAGCAAGGCTCCCTCCCTCTCTTCCTTCCACCATCTCAGCTTTCCCTGGAAGCTCCGACGTGCTCCAGGGTGCTCCGTTAAAACTCTTACGCTCAATCACACACTTATTAATCATAAACCGGAAGGACCTGAGGGCGCGGTCTTACCAAGAGGAGGAGTTGAAAGGAGCGTTGGGGGGGGGGGATTTACAAACTGGCACTTTTTAATTTTCTCTAGGGAGATGAACATGAGGGCGACAGTGGACTGAGAAACAGTTAGGCGTGGTGGACAAGACGCTCCAACTGTCAGAGTGGTCTGAAGACAAAGTGCTGGTGTCTGATGTCTTTACTCTGACTGAAGAAGAAAGGTGGAGTGTGTTTGTCATGTGCGTGTGACTCTTCGTGTAATTGTGTCCCTGTTTAGTGACTTACTTGAGGCTACCACCAGTATGTTCATTCTCTCTTAGGGCACAGACTGCCACACCAAACTTCTATTAAAAAGTAGGCAAATTTAAAGAAGCAGTTCAGTTAAGTGTGTTAGGAAATACAATTCTTCACTTTGTTTCTTAGAGTTAGATGAGAATATATCAAATCAATCTCATGTGGGTTCAGTACAGAGATGGAGTTTGCGAGTAGCTTAGCATAAAGACTAGAAGCAGGGGGAAACTCTCTGTCCAATGTCCAGAAATTGCAACTACCAGTGCCTCTAAAATTAACCAATTGACATGTGTTGATATATCTCATTACTACAAAAACAGAAAGGTAAAAACAACACTAAGGGGAGTTATATGCTGAAACAACTTAGTCTAACTCTCTGAAAGAAAGCGCTTAAATGTATTTCCCAAAATGTCAGAGTATTCCTTAAATTGTCTTCTCACTTGTTGGTGTTCCTACTTTTCTACTACCGTGAATACCTGTTCAAAACTAGATAACAATTATGAAAATGTCTGTTTTAAATATCAAAGAGAGTCTGTCTACTGAACATTTGCCTCCCAAATGTCAGCATTTAACAACAGTCTGTCACAGAGCGATGCCATAGCACACATTAGAGGCTTTGAAAACATGAAAAGGTCTACAGGAATCTACATATGCTAGTAAGAAAGTAACTGGAGTTTGGTGTGGTGGTCACTCTTCTGAAAAAGATATTGTGTGTATGTTTTGTGTGAGGCCTTTAATGGCTAAATTACCATGGTGAAGGCTTTTTTGACTCATCCTGTGACATGAATTCAGCGCACCTCCCTCTTCTCACTGCCCCTTGAAGAGTGTGTGTGTGTGTGTGTGGTTGAATGCACGATGCAGTGAACGAATAACTGCTCTGTCATCTTTTTTTTTTCTTTCTTAGTTACAAAGTGTTTGGGGTTTGATGTGACTGAATGGTTCAACCTTATGCCAAATGATTGAACAATCACTCTCTGCTCTCTCACCTCTACTTGGGCTGTGTTTTATAAACAAAAACAAAATGCGAGCTCTTTTCCCTTCACTCGGCTAGCAGTGCTTCAACATTTCAAGCTTTCCTTTAAACCTTCTTGGTTGCTGTGTTTATTTCCAGACTTTAACTTCACCTGGATGAGAAAGCATTATTCAAAACGGACATTTCACTTGAAGGGGTTGAAGATATTCCAGCTGCTTGACTGCTGGAGGCAGCAGCGTTCATGAAGAAATGTGTTGCTGACCAGGAGAGAAGGTTTCCTGTGATTTTCCCGGTCTGCAAACGCGTGCACAGATCCAAACTGATGGTGCAGAGAGTTGATATTGACTTTAAAAAAAAAAATTCAGCTGTTTTCCAATCGGGCAGTCGGCACTATGCAAGTATGGGCGATACATCTTCACAGACCAACTATACTTAGCTGTTTGTACTATGATAGTAGCAACTGTGTGAACAGTGTACTCTGGTTTTTGTATCTTAGATCTTCCAAAACACCATCTACTGTATGTTTCTGATTCATTTAGCCTTTTTTTTTTTTTTGATCTTGGTACTGACGAGCAGTCCGCTTCCTCCGCTCTCCCGCTCCAGAGGGAAGTAAACTCCAGATCAGCGTTTTATCAGGGCACTGTCACTCTAATTTGCAAGATACGACCCTTTGCTGGTTGTAGATGAAGCTTAACAGGATTACAGACAGAGAGCAGTCAACAAAATGGGAGACCTGAATGACCCAACTGCACTTTGAACATAACCTCCTCCTCACCACCAATTTCCTTTGTGTTTTTTATTACGCCCCTCTTTGCTTTCTTTTAACCTGCATGTTGTTCTTCTCTTTCATATGTATTTAAAAAAAAAAAAAACGATTTATGAAGAAAGAAAAATGAACCACTTGAGTTTTATTTCTTCAGCACAACCTGGAAACTGTAAGGTTTTTGTGCCAGTACCCTAAAGTACTCTGTCTTGTTTGGTTAATTCTTATGTGTTTTATCCCTGGAGCTTCCTGTGTGTTCGAGAAGAATCTCATCGTCTTCTATAGCCTTACTCCCCGACTGGCGTTCAGGTTTCCGTTGTGGCTGACTGACCTCTCTTCCTTGTTGTATCAAGGCTCGCCTTCTTTGTTCTGCTGTTGAGGACTATGATGTACTTGGTCTGTGTGTGAGTGTGAGTGTGTTGTATTGTTTCCAGACCTGGAACTAATACCATTTAAAACCCTATTAAAAACCTTCATGTGGGATTGATTTATGTTTGTTAGCACAACAGCTCCCCTCCATCCCTAAACCTAAAAAGGCAATCCAGGCAGGTCGAAGCAATCTGTTGTTAACAAAGTCGTTGATGGGATTTTTAATGCTATTTGCTCCCAGATCTGTGTTGTATATTGTATATGATACACTCTTTTGGACTCATATGTAAATTTGCATTAATTGCTGACTAACAGCGAAAGAATATTCTATTTAATTCCTTCTCTCTTGGCTGTGGGATCTTAGATGTTTAACTGCATGGATGTACTGTATCTCTGCAGAGTCAACTAGCAGCTGTGTGATTTTTACACAAAAAAAACGGCACAATATTTTAAACGCTGCTCTCTTTATTGACTTATGTTTTGGGCCGTATTTATCATGTTAAAGAATACTTTTTAAGGAACATTATTGGGGGTAAAAGGATTTCGTAAACAGTAAAGGATAATAAATTTATTAAAGCATTCATTTTCTAGTGTAGGAGGAATTTTTAAAGGTAGTGAAAACACTTTTTCCTCACTCACTCTTCTTTTTATAAGCAATACGTAGGACATGACCTTCTGACTTCTGAAGTTAGAACAGTTTGGGATATTTTACTCAATGTGTTTCTGTGCTGTGATGATGCAATTCAGCTGTTTTGTTTTTATTTGCTTTTGTTGTTGGATGTTTTATTTACTAACTTAAACTGTTGCTTTTTTAGTCATGAATATATAATGTTATGGATGTTATATGATATTATACAGACTTGAAAAGACCTGAAGAAACCAAGAGGCTTTAAGATCAGCTCTCAAGTGATCACATGGTTAATCACATGTTTAAGAGAGGAATAGCAAGAAGCAATTATTTGTTCTTCAGAAAAACACAGCAAATCCTTACATACTTCTCAGTGATATGTTATATTGCAAAAGTCGACTATTTTATTTTTCACAAGTCAAATTTGTTTGTGTGAAATATTTTAATATCTCCAGTAGCACTTAGTGGTAAAAATAATAATTTAATATATCTATAATATAAAAATATCTAATTGCAGATTAAATCTAGCTGAAATTGATCAAAATCAAAACCAGAGCAGGGGAGAAGTTTGCACCACGAGCAGATGACGATGCAAGGAGAGTTATGGGAAAGCAGCAGCATGAAACTATTGTATTTATTGTTAAAGTCCAATCAAGGTCTGGAGATAACTCAAGAAAAATCAAAGCAAACAGGACACACAGGGTCTGAATAGTTCAGTGAGAGTATTTCAGTTCTTGATTTAAAAGCACTTTGTCATAATGTTGGTTAGACTCGGGGCCTAAAAAGTAAATAAATCCATTTTAAATCAAATCTGACATACAACATGCAATGGAGTGTGCAAAAAGTTTGGGATTTGAATCCAAAACGTGTCCTACATGTGTGTTTGCCTGTTACTGAACTGAAGCCATCTAAAACACACCTCTCGAGCTCTCTGAAGCTTAAAAAATACTTTGACGTTTTATTCTTGAGATTGAAATGGAATGAATGTAAGTTAAATGGAGAACTTCATCTTCCACCATTTTTATCGTAGCAGTTTTCAGTAGTGGTCTCCTGCTATCATTTGCAGCACAGACATGGTATGTTAAATCCATACATGAGAACTTCATTTGACAAGAGTGTTATTGACTTAAATGGCAAAGTCAACTTACAAAAGAAGCCTTAATTCAGAGGAACATCTCAATAGGAATGACAGACACTGAATGGGTTTGAGCAGGTTTTTATTAGATCTATTAGAAGTATTGCTTGATTGCTAGGCTATTGTACAGAGGGGCTCAAAGAAATCCTGAACGTAATCAATGCTATTTTCAAAAGATCAGTCCCTTTGATCAGTGATTTTAATTTCAGCAAGTCAAACACCTCAACCAACTCTGATAAAAGCTACCAGAGGGCAGAGCAGGTCATTAAAGCCACTGAAACAGCCTGAATAAACTTGCTCTAAACTTTAGTTTTCTACAAATCAAATCTTTGTTTCATAGAACCTTTGTGTAAGGAAATATCAGTTCAATCTGCGTTTGTTAGAAAGCCTGAATGCAGACAATAAACAGTTTCAGAGTGAATCATGTTTATTAACGGAAACTCAAGCATGAATCGTTAAATGTAATGGCACCTTTTTGCAAAGCCCAGCTCACGATACAAGGCCTTACTATAGACATGACAAGGCCTGTTATCTATATCTACTGAATAACTTTTCTTACAGCAGGACAAAGAGCTCTAATGTAACAATATAAATATCTGAGGTTAAACTGTGTTGTTTGTGATAGCATGACTTAAATATTGTTTCCATCAGAATCAGTGGATTGGCTCCAGGGTTTTTTCCCCAGGTGTGTTTATCGTCGGGGTTTCAGCTGTGTTTTGATGAATCCAGAACATTCTCATGTCAGCAGACAGTTCAGGTCAGGGCGCAAATGCAGCTGGGACTTTATTTGACCACACTGGAAATACAAAGAGAAGGAGATCAGAGATCGTCAGTGATTGTTTTATATCCTATATTAGGCCACAGAGCCCTAAATAGACAAGACTGAATATATCTATACATCAGCGTGAAAGTTCTTTCTTGACATTGTTAACAATAATTTGACAAAATGTAACTCAAAGTCCAGTTACTAGCTTTTCCCCATAGTAACCCACATTGTGAGGTTATAATCGCTCCTTGTGGAAGACCAGAAGATGAGGAAAAAGCTCTTTCAAAAAATCTATTATTTTAGGCTTTGAATTAACATTTCAGTTTTTTTGTTTTAGTTCAAAATCACACAAAGTCAAGCAGCTGGAATATCTTCAACCTCTTCAAGTGAAATGTCTGTTTTGAATAATGCTTTCTCATCCAGGTGAAGTTAAAGTCTGGAAATAAACACAGCAACCAAGAAGGTTTAAAGGAAAGGTTGAAATGTTGAAGCACTGCTAGCCGAGAGAAGGGAAAAGAGCTCGCATTTTGTTTTTGTTTATAAAACACAGCCCAAGTAGAGGTGAGAGAGCAGAGAGTTAAACATAACACAGGGAAGAACTACACATTTTGTGTAAAAATCCTACATTGATCATTTCTAAAATGTATAAATGCATAGTCATTAGTAGCTACATGGATCTTGTACATGTAATAGTAATTGTACAGTATTTCCCTCCGAAATGTCTGAAAAGCAGAAAGTCCCTCAAATTGGAAATACTCATGTAAAGAACCAGGACCTCATATTTGTACTACAAAACAAAGGACAGTGTAGTAAATCTGCCCAGTTATCTAGAAAATAGTAAATTCCAGAAATACTGAAACTGAATTCAAGCTTTACAAATGCTTAAAGCAATGGTTAGATATTTTGGAAAATACACTTATTTGCTTTCTTATCTTATGACATGTGTGCATGGTAAATATGAAAGCACAGCTAACTTTGCTTTGCACAGAGACTGAAAATGGGTAGAAAGCTAGCCTGCATCTGACAACAGTTGCTGGGAGCAGTGGAGAGGAAGGTTACTGGTTCCGGACAGTAAATGCCAGGCTATCTCCCCCCACTGTTCTCTATGCTAGGCTGTAGCTGTATGCTGTAGCTCAGTCTTCTCATCTAACTCTAAGCAAGAAAGCAAATAAAACTGTCCACAAAATTATCATTTTAAATTTGGTTATTTCTCCTGCTGGTGGTAGCCCTGCTCGACACTCACATGGTGGTTTCCTTGTAGCGGTCCAGAGCCTCCTGGCCACCACCTCAGAGAACTTGGGGTCGGTCCAGGGGATGTCACCTGGCACACTGATGTTCATAGGTGGAGAGTCGAAGAGCTGCACAGACACGCTTGTTTCTTCAGGCTCCTTCTTCTCCTCGTCTGGCTTCCCCTCCATGTCCTTGCAGATCACCTGCAGCACAGCGGGGTGGGGTGGGGTGGGGGGGGCGTTCATCTTAAGCAAACAGCCTAAACATATCTGCATTTCCACATAGCCAAAACTGATATACTGTGCATATGCAAATATAGTGGCTCCAATTTTGATCTTTTCACTTTATTTGTATTTAATTGGAACGCCTTTTAGCTTTTAAGTTGGTGTTAATAGCATAAAAAAACAACTTGCAAAGTGGTTATCAAGCTAAAAGTAAGGTTTATGCATGTTTTAATGTCTCGCAAAAGAGAAAACCATCATGGATTAATGGAATTGCTGCGAAGAAAACAGACCTATCACAAAAGCCGCGTTTCCACCAAAAGTACCTGGGAATTTTAAATCCCTGGATCTCTTTTCAAGGAACTAAAAACAACAAGTTTGGACCCCATATTTAGCGTAACTCCATCAGCTGTTTGCTGTAAACACACCGCTGCACGCTGGCTGCTATTTCCAACCAAGCAATCAGGCAAACATCGGCAAGACTTGTGTGTTGACTGTTGATTTTGATTTATTGGTTTGAAAACAGCAGTGGAAAAGAGAGGAGCAGTCCTAGAAAAACACCCGACATGCTTGGTTTAAACCCAGTAGCCTCTACTCCCCAATTCAGAATATTACTGCAAGGCAAGCCCCCCACCCCCCCAAAAGTACCGGTACTTTTGGAAAGTACTACCCCCTCGAGCAGTGACTTTTTGGGGGGTAAAATAAAGACCCTAGAACTAAATTTAGACCCCGGTCCCTTCGGTGGAGAAGTTCCTCCAAAGGTTTCTAGGCCCAGGGAATACTGTAGTTCCTTTGGTCGAAACGCAGCTGAAAAGAACTCTTGAAATAACCACACCATTCACAAAAAGCATGCAAACTGTTAAAAAATAGTAAGACAGTTTGTTTTAAAATTCATTTAAAGTTCATCCTGAAAGTAGGCTTTTTTGGAGATACACAGATTTCAGATTTTTCATGTTCATATTTGTCACATTTCTCACTATGCAGATCCCTCAGTAATTAAGGACATTTCTTTATCCATTGTTTGTTAATTTAGGAAAACTCCATCACTGACTACACAGCTAACATCCAATAAAAGCAGGTCACAAGTAAAAAAGATGTGAGTAATTAGTTATTTTTGGCAGTACATTTTATTATTTTATTTGCACTATTCCTACATGTACTGTATGTTTCCAGCTTCCCCAAAGAGAAAGACACAGCGCTGCAGTGAATGAGCTTAACAGATTATTTCAGCACAGCAGGACAACGGGCAGTTCCACATACCGTTTGAATCCGGAAGATGTCGTCCTTGGTGTTGGTGTCGTTTGCCAGAGACGACACCCAGCCGAACTGCCTGTTGAGCAGGTCCAGGATGGAGGAGGTGTTGAACATCTTCTCCTCGAACCTCTTCAGGAGGCTGTTGTACTGCTGAGTGAAACGCTCGGCCATGGCCAACGCTTCC